TTTCTCTGACTTCGAGCTTACTCCTACATTAGAGGAGGTAGCTGGATATGGTGGTTTTGACGGTTCCGCTGTGTGGATGACTCCATATTCTCCTTCTTGAAATTCCACGAACCAGTCCCTATTGAGACACATATGATAGCTACAAGACGAGTCCATCAACCATACGTCTGATGATGTTGATGACTCTGTTGTAACTAATGAGAAGTCTGAATCATCACAATCAGCTACATTTGAATCCATAATGGCCTTTCCATTGTTATGTTTGACATTATTCTTCAACTTCGGACAGTCTTTCTTCCAGTGCCCCTTTTCTCGATAAAAGGCACATTCATCTTTGCTGGGTCTGGATCTTGACTTGGATCTTCCCTTCTTTGTCCTCGTTTGATTTTGAGGACGACCCCTCACAAATAGTGCTTCTCCTTCTCCGCCCTTCTGTTTTTCTCGCTTTCTTTGTTCATAGCTGTACAAAGCCGAACAAACTTCTCTGAGAGAAACTTCGTCATTTCCATGGAGTAGAGTAGTTTCAAGGTGCTCGTACTCATCAGGAAGTGACCCCAATAACATCAAGGCCAAGTCACCATCATCAAAAGTTGGATCCATATTTTGAAAATCTGTAACCAACTTATTGAAACTGGTGATATGTTCATTCATCGTGGTACCAGGAACATAGGTGAAGTGAAACAGTCTCTTCTTCATGTACAATTTATTTTGACTGTTTTTCTTCAAAAATTTATCCTCCAGTGCTTTCCATAATTTACTTGCAGAAGTTTCCTTTGTGTATGGATATTTCTGCTCTCTAGCAAGGTAGGATCGAATGGTACCGCAAGCAACATGGTTGATAATTCTCCAATCTTCTACTCCAATAACATCTGGTCTTTTTTCTTCAATGGCAAGATCTATCCCTTGTTGAAAAAGGACAAGGTACGATTCGTCAAAAATTTCTACCGCAAATTTCGCATTTGACACAATTCTTGTCATAAGCGAAAATGTCAATGATGACGTATTATTGACACTTGATGTAGATTCTTCTTGTTTATTGTCTCCCATTTTGACACGAATATTATTTAATAGCTGACGATACAAATCAAAATTATTTCCTTTCTGGTGTGGAAGATCAGACTAAGCTGCAACCACAAAGCATACTAAGACAAAACCTTGACACAATTACCAAGATAAATCTTTTCTGATGTGGAAGATTAGAATATGCTGCAANGAAGATCAGACTAAGCTGCAACCACAGAGCATACTCAGACAGAACCTTGACTCAGTTACCAAGATAAATCTTTTCTGATGTGGAAGATCAGACTATGCTGCAACCACAGAGCATACTTAGACAGTACCTTGGCTCTGATACCAATTGTTGCGGAAGCCAAATGTATATAGTGTGAATAAGTCACAACTACTATACCAAAAATTATGACAGCCACCAAATAATAAATAAGACAATAAAGCAACAATAAAAGGAACACCAGAATTTACGAGGTTCGGCTAATTTTGCCTACTCCTCGGACACAACTAATATTTTATTCCACTCCAAAAATACAAGTGAAATAATACTAAAGAGAGAAGATACAAATGTCTTAAGAAGATAAGAAGACAAATGAGAGGTGTGTTTAAATCCTAAACATTAGGCCTCCTTTTATAGGGAAAAATTCCCAACCCCAAATTGTCACCCACCGATGTGGGACTTTTGACAATCAACAACTGGTTTCTATTCCTCAAGCATCCTCAGCTCAATATATGAAACTGGAGTCTAACGGATACTTGAAAGTGTATGAGTGGCAACGTCAGTGGAAAGAGGTGGATGATCTCCTGACAGGTTTTTATGGGGAGTGCAATTACCCCGTCGTCTGTGGTAGATATGGCATTTGCTCAGGGAGGCAATGTAGTTGTCCCAAATCAAGCTCTAATTCAACAAGCTATTTCAGACAGATAAATGATAGGCAAGCTAATCTGGGTTGTTCTGAGACCACAAGGTTGACTTGTAATGCGATAAATAACCACAGGTTTTTGGAACTACAAGATGTAGATTACTTTGCATTTACTGCAGATATTACAAACACAGATATGAATACCTGTAAAGATACATGTTTGAGGAACTGTTCCTGTAAAGCTGCTTTATTTCGTAGTGGTTTAAACTCTTCCATGGGGGAATGCTACCTACCATCCGAGATCTTTTCACTAATGAATAATGAGAAGGAAAGGACAAGGTACGATTCCTATGCATTTATAAAAGTACAGGTCGAAGCTGAACCAGCTGCTGCAAATGGGAAAAAGCGCGTTAATGGTGCTATACTGGGCTCTGTCATAGGAATTGCCATCTTAGGCATCATAATTGCAATTGCAGCTTTCATATTCTGGAAGAGGAGAAAAGCCATTGAAGACGAGGAGAGTTATCTAGATCACGTGCCGGGAATGCCCACTAGATTTTCTTACGATGATCTAAAGGCTGCAACAGAGAACTTTACAAAGAAGCTCGGTGAAGGAGGATTTGGGTCAGTTTTTGAAGGATGCTTAGAAGATGGCACAAAGATTGCAGTGAAATGCCTTGACGGAATAGGCCAAGTCAAAAAATCATTCCTAGCCGAGGTTGAAACTATCGGCAGCATACATCATGTAAATCTGGTACAATTAATTGGCTTCTGTGCTGAGAAGTCTCATAGGCTTTTAGTCTATGAGTTTACGAGCCATGGATCACTTGAAAAATGGATCTACCATGGGAAACAAGAGCTTACTCTTGATTGGAACTGCAGGCGGAAGATTATTCAAGACACAAAGGATTAGCTTACCTTCACGAAGAATGCAGGCAAAAGATTCTACATCTGGATATTAAGCCCCCAAACATACTCCTAGATGAGAAGCATAACGCTAAACTCTCTGACTTTGGGCTTTCAAAGCTAATTGATCGGAATCAGAGCCAAGTCATGACTACGATGAGAGGCACTCCTGGTTATTTGGCTCCTGAATGGCTTACTGGAGTTATAACAGAAAAGGTAGACGTCTACAGCTTTGGCATTGTGATCTTGGAAATTTTGAGTGGAAGAAGACATTTTGTGGCATCCGAGTCCGAAGAGCAAAGGGTAATGTTGAACTTATTCAAGAAAAAGGCAGAGGAAGGGCAATTGGTGGATCTTATTGATAAGCATAGCGAAGATAAGCAGTCTTACAAAGAAGAAGTTATAGAGACGATGCAGATTGCTGCCTGGTGTTTACAAGGCGACTACACGAAGAGGCCGTCAATGTCAATGGTGGTCAAGGCAATGGAAGGTGTTTTGGATGTTGAAAAGAATCTGGACTATAGCTTCCTTAATCCACAAACAGTCGGTAAATTACCAAATATTACTTTTTCAGATTCAACTCCTTTACTACCTTCAATCCTATCAGGCCCAAGATGAGGAGAATTTGGCTAATTTCTAGTTTTGCTGCTGTGTAAATTTCTCCTCCAATGTTCACAGAAGTTAAGATTGTTTTTGTTTTTTCCAATTTATTCATGCAAAGTTTGTTCGATATGTACATAATACACTTATCACAACTTTCTCCAAATTGTACAGACTATTTACTCCAAATGACTCATCACTCTATAATACTTTGCACACTCCAATGAAAAAATTCAATAATTACAAATTCTGCTCCTTCATTTCAGCAAGAATTTCATAGTTTCAAGGCTGCTGCCTAACATATCAAATGGATAAGTAAATCATTATCAAGTATTTGCAACGTATGCAAAATAAAAGAAAGACAGAAACTAGACATTAAAAGTTCTCAGCCAACCTGAAGGACTTCAACAAATTGGGTGACTACACGAAGAGGCCTTCAATGTCAAACTGTTGTGCCACCTACTCATGCTTCAATACGACCTACTCAGAAACGAGAATCACACGAGCACGAAACCTACAGGTATTTCATGCCTTCGCAATTTCTACGATTAAGTGATATTCTAAGAGACGAAACATGATATGAGTATCTCTTTAAATTTCTGATGCAATATATTAGAGAGGGGAGAAGGTTCTGGAAACTTGTGGAGAGGACAGCTTATAAATACTGAAGTGGACACAATATGTCCATACCTTTGAATTATCACTTGTTTTTTGCTGCCAAAAGCCATTTGATGTATTTTAGTAGCAACCCATGATGTATCATTGGTTTGCCTCTTCTTAGAACATAGTGCACACAAGCTTTCTTATGAGAAAAGAGTACAACCAACAGCTTCCAATGAGGAGAATTCGTTCTTTGTATTATTTAAAACTTCAGCACAGTCTTGGGTGAACGAAAATCATCACGAGTCTTGGAGTTGGTGGAATATTTATTGATTTCTAAAAAATAATATGTGTAATTATTAAGGGAAGCATGTTATCTTACTTTACTAGGCCAAAAATAGGAAAGAAACCACCTCCCCTTTTCCTTTTTTTCTTTTTTTACATGATGTGAAAAAATAGAACTGACACTAATTAAGTAATCTAGGGTTAGCCAGAGACGAAGCCAAGATTTGAACCTTATGGGATCGGAATTCTAGCCCGTTTATGTTACTTGATTCTAAATTAACAATTTATACATATTCAATTAACAAATACAGGATTTGGATAAAAGTTACTGGGTTCGGCCAAACCCGCAAGACCTATGCTAGCTCTCTGCCCGGGGGTTAGCAGTGTTTCAATATAATACTCAATCAAAATGACCAAACAAATGTGAGGATTCGATGTTAGTAGTATTCTAACTCGGTTCAAATAGTTAGAAATAGTTGGTTGGTACAAGTACTTAGATATCTTAACTACAAGTTGGTTAAATTTTTATTGGTCGAAAAAAAGAAGAGGGAAGAAACATCTTCAAGCTAAATATGCAGCTCCGGTATTTTGCGAAACTGTATTTGCATGAAGTTGAACATCTTTAAGTAGTTTACAATCTGCAATAGAAGATTCAAGATTAAGTAAAAGCCATTTGTCACAAATGCGAATGCTCATCAATGCGCCCTTTCTTAACGAATGGAAAATGAAATTAAAACCTGAAAATAGGTGGATATCAATGCTGCAAGATGCATCTTAACCACTGAAAAGAAAGAATAACAACTGATGTCTTCATTTGTTCTCCCCCCAATATGCACATATATGAAAATCAGACACAATTAGTGATGTCAATTTAGCTGTCAGTCATTTTTTTGTTAGTCTTCTAATCAATTGTAGACTTGGCAATGGGGTGGATTAAACTTTTTGTGAAGTAAAGCCTCAGCAGAGTGACCCACCCTGGTGCCATCTCTAGTCAATAGTCAGCTGCTGGAAAGATAATAGCACATTGAAAAAGCTTTTGTGAAGCCCCTCTGAGTGTTGACCGGGCAAAGATTGACAAAGAGACACAAAAGTTGGAATTTTTAATAGTTTCTTTCCTTATCTTTGGTGCATATCCAAGAAAAGCACAACAGCTAATAGAAACAAAGAGGAATCCAAAGATTTTGTTAGTACTGATATCTGTATGTAGTAAACTAATTATGTCAATAGAAAATAAAGTTGTGAGCATGGTAATGAAAGAGTCACCTGCTAGCTTTCGGACCAAACTGCATTCACATTTTCTAGAAGTTCAAAATTTGCAGTCAATAATAGTTTGAGATTCAAGATTCACTTTTACAACTGTGAATCATATATTAAGGCATTAAGTCATAAGTTATTTTTTTTAGCATAACAAGATGAAGCTAAACTTTGAGATATAATAATTGAATGAAATGCCCAGAACCTGCAGCAACTACAAAGATGCAAAATCCTAATAAAATATTTTCATTTTTCAAAGCACAGAACATTGTGCCTGAAAGTCATAGGGCCCTATATTATATTCATGCTTTATGTCACGACCCATTTTCTGAACAAGCCGGGACCGGCACTCGATCACTAAACATGACCGAGCGAACCATCTCTGTTTATCAAATCTATTATAACTCCAAACTTTATATGCAACAAGGCAATACTCTAACCAAATACTTTTGATTAATTTAAACATTTAAATAAATTAACTCCAAAACTTTATTCATAGTAACCAATGAAATACTGCTAAGTTATTATCAAAAACATCTGAATCTTAACCCAACGACTATGTCTATGAAGCCTCTACTGATAAACTGACGCACTGCTCAGGACATGAGATTTCTTGGCCAGTTCTCTAAGTAACAAAGAAATAACTAAATAAAGATGACTCTAACTCGTACAAAAGCGGAGCTCACCAATAGCACTGGAAGAGAAGGAAGTCCTAACTCGTAGCCTGCTCACCTGCAAATCCGGTTCCTACGTTGTATCGCAGACCAACGTAGGTTCCCAAAAGAGAACGTCAGTACCATCCATTGTACTCAGTGAGTCTCAACACAGGGGGCGAGACTTTAATAATATATACATTACGAGANCCTTGAACCTCTTAAGTTTTCTTAGCACTACTCACTTTTCCAAGGGACTCAAAATTTTGGCTAACTCCCTTTTCAAAAATTTCGGCAGAGTTTCCCTTGTAAATTGGACTACCCAAATAAATATCCCTATCACAAATACCACAACTACATCAACAACAACTAAATATACCATAACAGGCCATTCATAGGCANCTATATAATTGCATAATAGCAGTTTATGAATATTCTAAAAGAAATTCTTTTCTTTTTCTTTCTTTTAAAAAAAACATACTTCACTTTATACTTTGGGAGTTCCAACTATCCTGACATGTTTCTGTCTTAGTCACCGTGTGATCGGCGCGGGTTCGATCCCAACCTGATCGAATAGGCCCAATCCACGAGGTGTCACTCGANTTTGGCTAACTCCCTTTTCAAAAATTTCGGCAGAGTTTCCCTTGTAAATTGGACTACCCAAATAAATATCCCTATCACAAATACCACAACTACATCAACAACAACTAAATATACCATAACAGGCCATTCATAGGCACCATACAACAACAACAACAACAACAACCCAGTATAATCTCACTTAGTGGGGTCTGGGGAGGGTAGTGTGTACGCAGACCTTACCCCTACCCTAGGGTAGAGAGACTATTTCCAAATAGACCCCCGGTATCCTTCCCTCCAAGAACATCCCACAATTAATTACTCACACTCCGGCAAGGAGGTACCACAATAACTAATAAGAATCTAAAGCACAACACTTTAGCAAAAGTAAATCACTTTAATGAATTAAATATACTCTGGCATAAACTAAATCACTACAACAACAAAATATAATATAGGAAGGACATAAACACTTGCTAACTTGTATTTAATATATGAAATATAAATGTCAAGCCAAACCTAGGTTCACATACCTTGTTACTCAAATAAATAAGGATACTTCTTCCTCATATCTTCCTCGACCTCCCACGTAGCTTCTTTTGAATCATGATTACTCCACAAAACTTTTACTAATGCTATATCTTTTGTTCTCAACTTTCTTACTTGTCTATCGAGAATTTCTATAGGTACCTCTTCATAAGTCAAACCTTCTTTAATTTCTAGGGTATCGGCAGGTATTATATGCGACTCATCATGAATGTACTTTCTAAGCATAGACACATGAAAGACAGGATGAACAGAGGACAACTCAACAAGTAGCGCTAGCTTATAAGCCACATTTCCTTTCTTTTCTAGAATTTCATAAGGTCCGTTAAATCTAGGGCTAAGTTTCCCTTTCTTACCAAACCTCATAACTCCTTTCATTGGTGAAACTTTCAAAAATACCTTATCACCAACCATGAACTCTAACTCACGATGGCTCTTGTCAGAATATGACTTTTGACGACTCTGAGCCGCTTTAAGTCTTTCTCTAATTAGTTGAACTTTCTCCAAGGCCTCACAAACAAACTCTAGACCAATCAACGGAACCTCTGCTGGTTCAAACCAACCCACTGGAGACCTACATCTCCGCCCATACAACGCTTCATAAGGAGCCATGCCAATGCTGGCCTGATAGCTATTATTTTAAGCAAATTCTATAAGTGGAAAGTGATCATCCCAATTACCTCCAAAATCTATAACACACACATGCAACATATCTTCGAGAGTCTGAATGGTCCTTTCTGCCTAGCCATCGGTCTGTGGATGAAAAGCGGTGCATAAATTAACCTTGGTACCTAATCTTTTCAGAAATGCCTGCCAAAATTCACTGTGAACTGAGGGCCTCTATCAGATATGATTGAAACTGGAGTACCATGCAATCAGACTATTTCTTTAATGTACAACTGCGCATACTGCTCTGCGGAATCTGTCGTCTTTACTAGTAGGAAATGCGCGGACTTTGTCAGTCGGTCTACAATAACCCAAATTGAATCATGTTTATGGTATGTGCGAGGTAGACCTACTATGAAATCCATATTAATCATCTCCCACTTCCACTGTGGTATCTCTATATCTTTAGCTAGGCCACCAGGCCTCTGCTGCTCGGCTTTGACTTGCTGGCAAATTAAACATTTAGCCACATGATCTGCTACTTGTTTCTTCATGCCTTTCCACCAATACAACTCTTTCAAATCTAGATACATTTTGGTAGCACCTGGGTGGATAGAGTACCTCGAACTATGAGCTTCCTTTATTATGGCCTTCCTAAGACCATCTACATCAGGCACACATAACCGGTCATTCAACTTCAAAACTCCGTCACTTCCTAAAGTGAAAGCAGCGATTTCTTTGCTTTTGACTCCTTCTTTTAATTTCACTAAGTACGGATCTTCGTCTTGCTTAGCCTTAACATGCGCAACAAGGGAGGATTGCGCTAGGGCATAAGCTTATATCTCCTTCTTCGGTCTTATCCAATCTAACTCCATCATTTTCTAGTTTTTGAATTTCTCAACCTAAAGATCGCCTTTGTACTGCAAGATGGGCTAAGACACCTATTGACTTCCTACTAAGTGCATCTGTTACCACATTAGCTTTGCCCGGGTGATAAAGGATATTGATGTCATAATCTTTCAATAGCTCGAGCCACCTTCTCTGTCTCAAATTTAGTTCTTTTTGCTTGAAAATGTACTGGAGGCTTTTGTGATCTGTAAACACTTCAGAATGCTCGCCATAAAGGTAGTGTCGCCATATTTTTAATGCAAACACCACTGCTGCAAGCTCCAAGTCGTGTGTGGGGTAGTTCTTTTCATGATTCTTTAACTGCCTGGAAGCATAAGCAATAACTTTTCCATTTTACATAAGAACACAACCAAGGCCCACTCTGGAGGCATCACAATACACTGTGAACCCACCCGAACTTGTCGGCAAGGTTAACACAGGTGTAGTGGTCAACCTCTTCTTTAACTCTTGAAAACTCTGCTCACGAGCGTCTGGCCATTGGAACTTAACTGCTTTCTGAGTCAACTTAGTTAATGGAGCTGCAAGTGAGGAAAACCCCTCTACAAACCTTCTATAGTAGCCAGCTAACCCCAAGAAACTCCTAATTTCGATTGGCGTTATTGGCCTAGGCCAGTTCTTGACTGCTTCTGTCTTCTGAGGGTCTACTTTTATTCCTTCACTATATACCACGTGGTCTAAGAATGCCACTGACTGCAACCAGAACTCACATTTTGAAAACTTGGCATAAAGCTCATTCTTCTTCAAGGTCTGCAAGGCTATTCTGAGGTGTTCTGCATGATCTTCCTTGCTCTTAGAGTACACCAAAATATCGTCTATAAACACAATAATAAAGGTATCCAGGAATGGATTGAAAACTCTGTTCATGAGGTGCATGAATGCAGTTGGAGCATTTGTCAACCCGAAGGACATCACTAGAAATTCATAGTGCCCATAGCGAGTTCTAAAGGCTATTTTAGATATATCCTCTTTTCTGATTCTCAACTGATGGTACCCTAACCTCAAGTATATTTTTGAAAAGTACTTTGCACCCTGAAGTTGATCAAATAAATCATCAATTCTTGGCAGTGGGTACTTGTTCTTAATGGTAACTTTATTCAATTGCCGATAGTCGACACACATTCTGAGAGGCCCATCTTTCTTCTTGACAAACAGGACCGGGGCACCCCATGGTGAAACACTCGGTCTGATGAAGCCCTTGTCAAGAAGGTCTTTCAACTGTTCTCTCAACTCATTAAGTTCTACTGGAGCCATCCTATAAGGAGGTATAGATATGGGCTGCGTGCCTGGCATGAGATCAATGCCGAAGTCTAGATTCTTTGGGGAGGAAGTCCGGGAAGGTCATCTGGGAAAACTTCTGGAAATTCTCTAACAACTGGCACTGACTGAAAAGCTGGTGGTTCTGATTCTGGATTAATAATGTGAGCCAAATAGGCGAGACACCCCTTACCGATCATTCGTTGTGCCTTAAGGTAAGAAATAAACTTACCTACAAGCGATGTTGAACTACCCTTCCACTCTAAGACTTCTTCATTTGGAAATTGGAACCTGACTATCTTGGTATGACAATCTAATATGGCATAGCAGGAAGACAACCAATCCATACCCATGATCACATCAAAATCCACCATTTTTAACTCTATGAGATCGGCTTTGGTGTTGCGACCTTGGACTGAAACTATACAACCTCTAAAGGCTCTAGTGACTTTCACTGACTCGCCAACTGGAGTAGATACTAGGAATGGCTCACTAAGTTGTTCAGGTTCTAGTCCGAGGTTAATTGCAAAGTATGGAGTCACATATGAAAACGTTGACCCTGAATCCATTATGGCATAAGCATTATGTCAGCAGATTAAAACTATACCTGTAATAACTTCTGCAAATGCCTCTGCACTCTGACGATCAAGTGTAGCAAACAAACGGGGTTGTCTCCCTCCCTGAGTAACTCGATCTGCACCTCTGCTTGCCCCATACCCGATCTGATTATGAGAACCACGAGCCAGAGGTGGTGCAACTGCATTAGCTGAGGAACTAGAAGGACGAGTTGATCCACCACTGAAATTACGTCGCTACTTTGGGCAGTTGGCCTTTATATGACCAATGTCTCCACAATGATAGCAACCATGAAACCCAAGCTTGCACTGACCTGAATGTTGTCGTTTACATTTTCCACAAAGACCTTGTTGGTGTGAATGTTGCTCAGCATGACTCTGGCTATGTGAGGATGGTGTCCTAAAATTCTGATTCTGGCGAGACTGATTTTTATAACTCTGGGTACGTCTGAAGGAAGACCCACCACCTGACTGATGACTGGACTGAGCTGGTGCTAATGACTCCTTATTAGAGGAATCCCTTCCACCTCCGCTGGATGTACCATTAAACCTGCCTACTATCTGGGCTTTCTTGTTATGCTCTTTTTCTTTTCTCCTTTGTTGTCTGTCTTTTTCTAAGTGCTTGGAGAACCCTACAACAGAGGAGAAAGATGTCATTCCTACCGCTGCAGCTGATGTCGTATCCTTAATGTGGTAAGCCAAACCGCCAACAAACCTGCGAATCTTTGCTTTTTTTTGTCTTAACCATGTGAAGAGCATGTTTAGCTAACCTTATAAATTCCATGTAGTACTCTAGCACACTTTTATTCCCTTGCTTGAGCTGTTCGAACTTTGTAGCCTTAGCTTCCCTATCCTCTTCCGGGATAAAGTTAGCCATGAAGGCCTCTTCAAATTCTTCCCAAGTAGGCGAACCATCATTTTCATCTCTTTCCTTCTCCCACATCTCAAACCAAGCGCCAACCACATCTCTAAGCTGGTAAGCAGCCAGCTCTACAGCTTCATCATCAAATGTTTTCATTACTCGAAGGGCTTTCTTCACACCCTCCAGCCACAACATTGGATTTTCGTCAACTATAGAACCATGGAACACTGGAGGACTCAACTTCAAAAATTCATTCACTTTTGAGGACTCAGAATTGTTCTGTCTATTTGATTGAGGTGAAATCTCATCTCTTCTCTCGTTCTGGTTGGCCATGAAGGCTTTAAACATCTCCATAGCACTGTTGACTGCATTAAACATCTGACTCACCTCTGGAGATATAGTTGTCTGAGCCGGAGCTGCTGTTGGGGGCGCTACTGGATCTTGAGGTACTGGATCATCATGCTCCACCCCTTCTTCATGTTCAACCCGGGTACTTGAACCCCATTTGTAGTTTTACCCTTCCTTTTCTGAGTTGAAGCCTTTTTAGTTCTGCCTTGAGCCACAATAGTAGCAATAGTTTCTGAGCATAATCCTGTGTGTCGGTGTCAGAGTTGCGAGTACGAGCCATTTCTGCGAGTTTTGGAGAAACGAATACATTAGATAATTTCTTAGAGGTAGGATCTACTGCACGATCTAAAGTATGAGAAAAATAAGACTTTTCCTAAATGTTGGTAGCCTCCTATTTATAAGTATGGCGCGCATCATACACATAAACAAGACTCTACTAACACAGCTTTATAGACCCCTAGGACTCCATAAACCTAAGGCTCTGATACCAAGTTTGTCACGACCCATTTTCT